AAATTTTTAGATTTCAGGCCTCAATGGCATAGAATAAGGATTATTCACAGCAACTTAGAGTGAGCAAGAGGTGAAAAGTTGTAAATCACAGCTTTAAAGCTTTAAAGCTGTGATTTAGCCATACTGAGCTAACAAAACAACTATGAACACTATGAGTGACGCAGGACAGAATTTAGACCCCTTAGGACAAAAGGAGACACAGAATAGCAGGTTATTGACAAAGAAAGGTTTCTAAATTTGTGCATGAAATTTCCAAGAAGGAACTGAGCACAGGAGAAGAAAAGGTGACTGTGGAAGACATACTGTGCAGAAGCAACAAAGGAAAAGCTTTAAGAAATACATTCGCATCAATACTTAAATAGACCAAGTGTTACAAACACAAGAAACTAAGAGACTTTATCACAACACACTGACAGACAGACCACAGATAAAAAGAAAGGAAGCTTTTTCAGGATTGCTGTCTAGTTCTATCCTCATCCACCGCTCAGTACTCCTGCCATTTCTTCAACAAGTTACAGAATCACAGATTAGTGCCATGTAACCACAGAGCATTTATGTCTGAAATCTCAGATACTTCAGAGGCAGTCTGGTTGTTGCTCTGGCTATGAGTGCTATGAATCTGAGATGACATAAACAGGATTTCCAAACAGTATGGTGGCACACTCTACTTAAATCAGGGGAGTGAAGTAAAAATAAACAGTAGTTGTCATGGTAGTAGTACTTTTACTACTATATTGATTATTATCATTAATTCAACCATGCCAGCTGGGGCTTAGGTGATGCAATGGTACAATATGAAATCAGTATTTCCTAAAGCATGAACTAATCTAAGATTTAAGAACCAACCACAGCACGAAAAGACTGCAGCCTTACATAATAGCAATCCTATTATATGGTATATAGAAATTAGGCCATATTTTACAGCAAAGAGCATAGATTTTCCTAGTGACTCATATGAATCCTTCAGTACCTCTCCTGGCTTCACACCTATTAAGGGACAATTGGTAAACTGCAGCTGAAAACAGGAAAAATAGTGAATGCTGTTTAAAGTCAGGACTGAAAATATGTCTGTTCTCTGCTTTGGTTTCAGAAGGCTACAGCAACATTTGCCAGTTGTACAGTAACTGCATCTTCTCTCACCCCTCAACATTCCCTTCAAGCTGATCACAGGAATTGGGACCAACTGCTGTGCTGTCCCAGTATGAGCAGAATACTGTATGTATTTGACCAATTCTCCCTGAACAAGACAATCTTAGAGGTATTTTCCAATAGCAGTAATAAAACTGCAAGAACCAGATTAATCAATTAATGCTAATCATTTTGTGGAATAAAAAAAGACAGAACAATCATTAAATTGTACTTGTGAAGTATTACTCAATTTCTAGAGATAGTAACATAAGAAATGCTACAGAAATATTTGGTTTGACTTTTAAGTATATTCCATTAAAAAAACCCACAATGCTTAAGGCTACTGGAAAAATATTTACTCAGCTGCTGTACATGAACAGCACCCATCAGTCTCAGTCATCTGAGTAAGCCAATTACCCATGATCACTTGTAGTGCTGACAGGCACCACAGTGATTGGAATCTATGTTCCCTAACTGAAATAACAATGTAGACTGGGGAAAAAAAATATAATTCTAACTTCTTTCAAAGAAGATACTGTACAATAAGAAACAGGTAATACTCAAAGACTGATTGGTACTTTTGTCCTGTCTTATGAACAAATTGATCACATAATTCCTGCCATTTGAAAAAAGAATTAAACCGATCTGCATAAAGTGCATATACTTGACTTTCCAAAAATTTCCACTGCTTGCACACTGAATCCACACAACTTTTAGGAAACCTCATAAATTCTTGAGTATGGGTCAAAGTGCATCCCTCATGATCGTCCTTTCATTCAGGAAGCTGCCGGTTTTTCCAGAAGGATACTGTGGGAGATGATGGCAAATATTTTACTGAAGTCGAGATAGAAGACAGCCTTTCCCTCGTCTACGAAGCTGATCAGTTTGTCATAGAAGGAGATTATGTTGGTCAAGCTGGACCTTACTTTCACAAGTCCATGTTGGCTGGACTTGATACCCAGGTGGCCCTGAGTGTGCCGCTTAATGGCACCTAGCTGCATTTTATGTGGCTGTTGCACATGCATAGCAGGGATTAGCTCTAAAAGAAAGGTTCAAAAAGCTTTAGAATTAGTATTATAAGCCTAAATACTCTACTGATCCAGACACTTGTTTAAAGTTTTATTCAGGATGCAGATGCCTGAAGATATCACAAGCTCTAGGAAAATCTATCTTAATCATGGGGTGACTATAGAATCTAAAATGTTGTGTAGATCTTGCTAAATAGTAAAAGCTAAAATACAACAGCCTTCAAAAACAAGCTCTAATGAATGTCATGCATAGACCTCAAATACAATAGTGGAAGTTTATCAAATAGCAAAACAGACAATTGAAGTTTATCAAATAAGAAAATAGACAATTAAAAAAACAAATCTGTTTCTTCTCATAGTATGCCTTCTCTAAAGCTTTCAGACAAACATCCTCCCTTTATATGCTGCTTCAACATCATTGTCAGAAAAAATACCCTCTACGTCATGTCATATTGTGTCCAAACTTGATAGTTAAAGGACATCTTTTGACAGAGTGAATTAACGTATCTGGCAAATAAGTAATCCAGTGGCAATTGGAAATCACAGAAGATGTATTCTCTTAGTGCATGATAAAATTAGGGGCCAAGGACAGCCCTTGAAATGGAAGCAAATTTTGGATTATTAGTTAAAAATCTCAATTATTGACTCCAGGGAAAGTGCCTTCCTAATCAAATCAACAGCTCACATAAAAGGAGCTTACTGGGTAAAATTTGTTATTAAATATTTTGCTGAGACTGTTGTTTCCCAGAATAAAAAATTATTTTTTGGAAACCTTAATCAAATTATTTTCAAGTATATGGTTTTACTTATTTTTACAAAGGTTTGATTTCTGTACTGAGGTTAGTTGCTCATACAAGCTATGTTCTTGAAGTGCAAACCCCGTGGAAGCAATTGCCCTCTTATGAGGGCCACAGTAGTTTTAGAAATTAATTTAAATTGCTAAGTAGCTTTCTTTCCATTTTTAAAAAGCATAGAATAGTTTTTAAAGTTCTGTATCTTAGTAACATTTACCTTATTACCCTTTGGTGGCATGCTTCATTATTTTTTTCTTTAAAAAGAAATCAGAAGGTTGGAGAGAAACATCCATTATCAACTATCAGGATCCCACTCTCTAGCGAAGTAATATACCTTTCCACTAGGACGCCAATCCTTACCTTGCGCTATAAGCTAGCATGGCTGGATTTTACTAGCAGCATGGCAAGGACATCACCGCCCAAGTCTAGCACAGCTCTAGCAGACATGGAGAGACCCCAGACCAACTGGCATGCAATAGTTCCATGGCTGATACTCCCAGGCCCTGGGCTGAGTAAGCAGAAGGAAGCTGTAGGCACATGAGGTCAAGGTTCCTAACTGAACTATAGCTGGAAGACTGCCCAGGGGCTGCAGAGACAAGAGGAGGGCATGGGAGGTGGGACAGGGTTATTCTGCAAAGCCAGCCATGTGCTGGCTCTCTAAAACTAAAAAACTGCAGCTGTAAGCATTTCTCATGTTCCATTCCAGTGTGTGCAATGCCTACTGGCCACAGGCTGAAGAGTTTACATAGGCTACTGGAAAAAGAAGTCTCTACCACTTGCTAGATCCTCCTTACACATCTTCACAGTTTCCTCCCACAGTAAGTTCCTTCAGAAGAGGATTAGTCAGAGAGAAGCAAAAGAGAAAGACTGCAGAAGGGAGACGGACAAAACAAAGACACCACTTACACGGGACATGGAAACTGGAAAATTCTCCCCACCCAGCCACCTCCTGGCCTGAGACATGGACTTCCCTGCCACAGCCCCAGGTAATGACAGCCCTCAGCTGGTTAGACCATTATGCTAGAATGAATGTCCTTTGCCACAGATCTGCAGCTTTTCCCACAGTATCCAAGTACCACTGGGCTTTCTTGTTTGGCTTCCTATCACTGGAAGTTACTGTTCTCCACCCCCACATGATGACATACATCTAAACCACAAGATCCTTAATAATAATGGATTATTACTGCACTCTCTGGAAATTCTCAGAAGTCCTCTGCACTGGCATGCTCCAGCTTTTAAATAAAACTTTTCTCTGCCTTGCAAATTCAATACTTTCAGCAATTCTGTAGGGAGGAAGTAAAAAGGAGGTAAACTCAAAAGCACCTGAGGAAAAGACCTCTTAGTCCTGGGCAGAAGTCATGCCAAAAGGCCTTTCTAAAGCCTACACATAATCTAAGAGAACTAAGACAATACCACAGCCTTAACTTCCTCATAAGTGCTGTTACTTCAGTGTTGGTACTAAACAGATAGGTCAGATCTCAACAGATGTACCACAGACTAGGTGAGACACATTACTTAACTTCTAAGGAACCAGTCATGTATATACACACACACTGAAAAGGACACAGAAGAATAAATGAAAAAAGAAGGACAAAAAACTCAAATTTTGCTGTCTATGAATTTGAAGAAAAACCAAACAAACAAGAGATCACTTCACTGAAACTAGTTTTCTTCAAATACTGTGTCAATTGTTATTTTTTTTTTAGGCTTTGAAGAGTAGCTCCAGGAAATCAAACCAGGCCAGCCAGAGATAAATCAGATATACATAAATGTTGTGGAAATGTTCAGTGCAAACTAAAACAAGGACCTGATAGCTGATTCAACGTATTCTGTGTGACCTCATTTTTTTAAAAGAAAAACTGTATTTTTAAAATTACAACAATTTCAAACAGAGAGACTAAATGTACCTCTGCAATAACTACAATCATATCCAACAGCATAAGAATACACAGTAAGCAATAAAAAAGTTTTTGAAGGAGATTAAAATTATTTCATAATATTAACCCATAACAACATGCAATGATATTTTGTGACAATAGTCAAAACTTACCATATTGATTGGGTCAACTGGACCGATGCTGTTAACATAGACATCTGTTTCAATTACCGTAGTTCTCACTAAACAAAATAGTAACCATAACAATTACATATTTAAGCAACTCTGTGCATTGTAAGTACAATTTAATTTATTTAACTAAAAATAGCATATCTGGTATACTTTATTAGATTCAGAATAACTAAATTTCTGGTTTCTTCATTTTGTGAAGGATCATATATGACTTGGCTCTCTTATTTCATATAACTTTTTAGAATTATCAGCTTGAACTTTTTAGTTCATAATGCAATCTCCACCTGTGTTTTTTGATCAATATAAGACAGATAAAAAAAGGAAAAGAAAGGAAAAGCGAATAAAATAAAAAAAAAAACCCAAAACTCTCTTCCAACATAAAAATACAGTCCTAAAAAGAAAATAAGTTTGGAACATTTTTTTCATACACCAAACCATAAGGAATGGGACAAATGCGTTTATCAGCTGCAAGGAATCAATATGAAGTGCCTTTATCAATTTCTACTGAGAATATGTAACAGATAAAAAATAACTTTTCACCACAGGTTTCCTCAATTCATAAAGCTATAGCACACCTAGGGATTACTAATGTTCTTTCATCAGCTGGATTAATACACTGGTTAAAACATTAAATTGAAAGCTTGTCAATAAAAACAATTTAAGAGTTAAACATTACCCAACTTATTTTTCTTTAAAAACAGGGTAAACACTCTCACTGTGTAGAAAAAAGACCAAACATTTTTTTTAATGTATTCCATTACAGAATATACTCTCTACTCTGTGTATTTTCAGGACACAAAATCTGAGTGTCCATAAAAGGTACACCTGAAATACTGGAGGCTCTGATAGTTCATTTTTTTCCTCCTAACTGGTTTATACAGGAAAAAAAGGGCACAAATGAAAGAGGAGAAAATGAATTTTTCTTTATCATTTTACCAAGCATCTTCTTCTAGTTTGTGCTGGAGAACCACAATGTGGTCACATGAGGATATATGTCCTTGTGTCAAATAGAATGAAGAGGGATAATAATCATAGAGTGCACCTAGTCCTTTTATGGTATGACACAGTAAAATAAGCATCTATTTCAATCTGCAGATAAAAAAAGTGGGAAGGTACAAACTAAAAGGCATTTTGACTTTTATAGGAGAGGGACCCTAGGTCATCAGATTTAATTTTTTTATACAGCAAAATTTCAGAGATTGACAAGGGTTAACAACAAACATAATTTCTGAAAATTCTAACACTCAGAAATTTCTAATACAGAAAGAAAGACTGTAACATTGACATCCTTGCCAGATACAATGACAGGCAAGATGCATTTCCTAAATATCCCAAGATACCTTTTCCCTGACAAGCTCACTTGGGAGGAAGTTTGCCCTGATTCCAAATCTGGTTAATGGTGTGAACATAAACCTGACAGAAATACACACTAGTGTGCACAAAGGATTTTCTCTATGAACACAGAGCACAGAGTCACTTGATCACCATCCTGTCCCCAGCATGCTTCAGGGAAAGTTTAAACAGATTCTGGAAACCAATTTCTTTCCTGGGGGAAAAAAAATAAGTACTTCCTGCAATGATACTTATGAGTCCCTTCCAACTCAAAATATTCTGTAATTTTGTTATTCTTTGATTCTAAGCTGCAAAGGTTTCCAATTTCTGCAGACCTCATAAAGAAAGGTAGACAGCACAAGAACTCATACACACAGACTGGAATATCAGAGTAAGAAAAAAGTTTATCATGCATGTATATAATCATATATATAACGTAGTCCCTTTGACATATATCACATTCTGCAAACAGATATCCTCTTCCTTTAATTTGCAATCCTATTTATTTTTATAACAGCAGCCCCACTGCTAGACCAGAACACAAGGAGGTGGATCAAAGTATATCTTGCCTTATCCCTCAAGTTGAATACTTCACTGAAATACAACTCACAGGATTCTTTCCCCTCCATCTCCTTTTTTCACCCTCTCAATTCCAGTTATACTGAAGGAGCTAAATACTCTGCAGATGCAGCCACTCCCTTTCCAACAGTCTTTGTGTCATCTGCCAGCTTTACTACAAAAATGAATTGTTAAAATAATTCAAATATCAATTAATTATTCTAGATCGGAAATTTCCTGTGAGACCCCGCTATAGCATCCCTTATTAACAGCTATATTTCAAGTTCTGTCAGCAACACAATTTTTAATGAGGGCTGTGTCAATTTTAAGAAATTCTAGCTTGCATCATGCAGTACTCCATCTGCCACAAGGGCTTTCCTGTAGTGAGCCGCTCAGTTCATTTTGCCTTTTCCATACTGCTCTGAGTAAGATTATTAGAAGTATTAAGAGCCACTTAACAGTTTAAAAATCTGCCTCTGTTGAAATTATTTTAATTGACATAAATGATCCAGAGAGAGCAACTCAATTCAAGAGGACTGGAAGAAGCTTATTTTATTACCTTATTTCTTCTGTATGGTACAGAGAAATGTACGTCTGAATTAGAAGGATTAATTAACACTTGTGTTCATGAACTAGAAGTGATAACAGTTCATGAAAATGACAAACGCTGGAGGAAAATACCTTTTTGATACTTTGAGAAGAACAAATTGAGAAGGTTTTCCAACCCTAATTGCTTCCTATTTTACTTTAAAACTTGGTATCAGACCTGAAAACACAAGTAGGAAGAAGGCTATTTAACACGTCCTGCATGAAGTGCAGAGCAGCAGTGTTCCAAACAAGGGGAGAAAGGTCTTGAACACTTTAAATATTTAAACTGAAAGAGAGTATGATGCAGTCTAGAGTAAAGCAAGAAGGTGAGAGGACAAGAGAGTGCATATTCAAGAGGAAGGGGGAGACAGAGAAAGAAGAGCACAAAGGAGCAGCTGACCACAAGGTCAGCTTCTAAGGTAGCTGAAGCACACACGGAACCTATTTGGTAAGCCAAATTTAGAGAGACGTAATCACTTTCTGATTTCCTGCTTTGACTTGTTTTTTTCACTAGACTAAACTTCATCTGGTTGTAAAAATTATGAAAAAATGATTATTCCTGATAAGAAAAATCATCGTGATAAAAATCTGTCTCAGTCATTGACAAATTATTTTAGAAATTGCCCCTGATATTCAAAGTGCCTGGTTTTTAGCCTGTATTTTTGCAAGCTCAATTTCCAGCTTTTAATATTTGATACATCTCTTCTTGCTACACTTAAGAGCTCTTCTTATCAGCTATTCTCATTCTATAAACACCTATCTCCTGACACAAATAATTACCATTATTGCAAAAGTCTAGAACATTGCACTTTTTATTGCTTAATTCTGCTATTTCCATTCCTCCAATCTATTACTTCAATACATTCACCTAGAGCATGGTAGTCCATCTAAATTCACTAACCCAATAGTTTATCACAACTACCTCAATTTCTAATGAAGGTCTAAGTCACATGACCTTTGTTTTTAATTAATGCTTCTCATGCTCTTTAACTAAGACCATTGTTGTAACTTCACCAAAGCTTATTTTCTTTGAGCATGTTTTCTATAACTCCTCATTACCTGCCTAAAGAAGCATCCCCTTTAGTGATAAAGCAGTTATTCATCAAATAAATTGGGTGACTACTACCACATTCAGAAATAACAGTCCTTCAATTTGTAATAACTTTTAATGAAATAATACAATTATCACAATCAGCTATCTAAGATTATTACTTACATGGCTACTTATATTGAAAATTCAGCCTCAAGTGTCTATAGCAGGCTTTCAGATCAACCTCTGAAGAATTTTTTCAAAGTGATTTTGAATGACAGCAGAGCCCTGTTCTCTAAACTTTTTACCCTTCTATTTAAAAGAAATCTGTCTTTTGCAGATACTCCTACCCCATCACTTCTATTATTTCCATGATTCTCTATGTAGTGCACATGTCCAATACCTTCAACATTCCCTGAATATCTGTGCCTACATTTTGTTCTTGTATTTTGATTTTCTTCAATTCTTGGATAATATTCTTAAACCCAAAACACATCTCTCTCTAACTTTCCTTGATATTTTCCTACTTGTTTTGCTGCCTGGAATAAAACTGAAAACCTTTCCAAACAGTGTTAAAATGAGACTGTTAAAGCAAATCCTTAATGGAAATCACTCACAGTGGCACAATATGCCAATATGCACATGTGATACAGTATTTATACAATTTTTATAAGGTTATTTAACTAGTATATCTAAAAAATTCTTCCAATTAGAAGAACAGTTGGTTAGGTAATTTCTTCTCGGTTCTGCCCCACTGGAGCCCCCACGATCCTTTAGCCCTCAATTTATTGTGTTTACAATGTATGGTGCAAAACAAAGTGTCCTCACTAGACTAATAAATAGAATTTCAAGAATGTATTAGTAAGAGTTTGTTAAAAGATGTGACAAGTCAGGAAAAGTACTAGAAGTTATAACTACATATTAACAGTCTGTGAAGTTACAAATATATGAAAAATATATAAAAATCTTTAGGCATCACTTAGAGCTTATTACTTTTCTGCCTATATCATAATTTCATCACTGCTACACTAGGAGCACCTGTTCAACAGAATACTTTCCAATACATTTATTTTTGAGAATTAGCACTTCTGATTGAAAATTCTGTATTTTCCATGTATTCTTCCCATGCCCTGCTTATAGGGCAGTAACAACTATCCAGAATTTTCCAGGTATCCAATTTTTCTACGTCCATAAGCAATTATCCTTAAATTCCCACCATTCTTAAAATTTCCATCAATGATGACTTGTCTTAAACTGTTAATTGAAAACACCCACTAAAGTTGTAGATATGTGGTGACTGTTTCCTATTCTTAATTAAATTATCAGGTAGCGCAGTTTTGTTTCACACATCACTGCTGGAAAAAAATTATCCATACATTGATAGGATAATATCAATATATCAGTGTCCTTAGGATGAGAGAGGTAAAAAATGAGAAGCCAGAATTCTTTCCTTTAAAAAGGGAAGTTCAAAAATAATAGCTACTTTAATGCAGGACTAGAGCAGAAATAGTGTGGTTATAAAATCATGCACCCAGAAGGTAATGTTACAGTGAGAATAATATGGCTTTATTGGTATATCAACAGTCCAAGGTTATATCTGTAATCAAACATATTTACACCATAGATAGGAGACTTTATCTGATAACTTCTATTACTTCATACTGAGTAGAAGAATGCTAGAACATTTATGTTCCAAACACATCAAGCCTACTACATAAACTGAGCTGAAGACTAGTAAGATTACTAAACATAGCAAAGGGTAGGAGTTAAGTAATTCCTACAACTCATGGATATTTGAATGAGAAAAAAAGAAAAATGACAGAGTGGTATTCCCCTATTAAATTTCAGTATTGTCTTCAAATTTCCATTTTCATTTGGCTCTCCTTTAGCATCTTCTTCAACTAACTGCATGTTTAACAATGAAACTCTTATCTCACTCTGAGATGTTGAAATTCTGTGTCAACACCACAAAGAAAACTTAATTCTGTTCTGAGATTCAAACCCAAAAAGTCCAAGTGCAAAACAAAAAGTGTTGCTATTGCAAATGAGCTTTGTAATTCAATCATAAGAACATCCTGTGGGATTCTAATGGTTTGAAAGATAATGAAAATTCCAGTTCAATAACCTTGTTGTACAAGAACTGACATACACTCTGAAGAAAGGAATCTGACACCAGATTTTAATCACATATTTGAAGCAGATTAAGATGAATAAACTATAGCCTGATTTTGTTTTTGTCTGTCAAATATCTGCTGCAGTTCCCAAACAACTGGACAGAATGCAGCGCTTTAACCTGAAGTCAGAAATTTCATCTTACATTGTCCAAAATTTCTTCCTTGTGGCAGAATCATACTTAACATTTGTTCTCTTCAAAACAAAGTGAATACTCCCAGATGTTTCCTTTTTTCATTATTCTGGCTGATTATCCATGAACTTTATGTTCTAGTATAGTGGATGGATGCTGGCCCCAGACAGCAACGGTCATATTGCTATAGAACTTTTGAGAAGAGGTACATTTATGTGAGAGAAGCTGGAAGTAAGTGTCTTCTTTTGGGAACTGATATTTTGAATCCAAAAAGCTGTACATTTAGTTACTCACAAAAAGACAGTTTTTGTCCTATCAAGACTCAGACTATAACCAGAAAAATGAAGGTAAGAATTACATCAAAATTCTTCCATGCCCATCTAAATGCATTTGACATGTCAGAATAAATTCCTCCTCTGTGTTTGTTCCATTTACTTGTAAGCTTTATGGGGAGAGAAGAGAAAAAGAATTCTCTGTTCTTTCATCCCCACCTACAAGCTAATCAATATAAGGAATCATAGAAGAGACAGATTTCCTCACAATCACTTTTCTGTCATTGCATCAAATGGGGAAAAACAAACAGTAAGCTAAACATTTGTCACACACTGAGAATTTAAGGGAAAACATGCTGGAGGACTTTTCATGTTGTTTAAATATTTTCAGTAATTCAATTAAATGAACATGAAAGAAAAGACTTAAACCAAACTTCATGAGATCCACATGTGATTATATTATGGCAGGGAGAGAATTATTGCCTTTCAACATCTCTAAGATAACAGTCACTAATAAAACAGAACTAAGAAGTTTGGGAAAGAAAACAATTTGTCAGAAGCTTTCAAAGGAAGATGCATAATTTGAGATTGTGTCTTTTTCTTCCCCTACATAAATGAAACAGGTCTAGATTGTGGGGCTGTTTACAGACTTACATGGCATTCCTTTGATAGGGAATGCCAGGTGCATCACAAATACTTATGTTCTCCACCTCTTCCTTCAAATTTCAGGAAACAAACTCAGAGAAAATATATTGTTTTTCTTATTTGATCCTGCATGGAATGAGATGGCAAGGTTTCATGTACTAATGTTTTAAAAACAAGATTCTTCCAAATATTTATGCTTAACATTTCCATGCAATATAAATATTATTATATTTAATATTTATTACATATTTTTATTTTTAATATAATATTTATTTATATTTGATGCTTTGACTATTGAAAGACAAAATTGCCTTCCTATCAGCTGCAGTTTTTCTTCCTATATTCCACTAAAAAAAGGGTCCTAAGTTATATTTTTAGACCCTTGAAATTTTTTTTTAAATCTTAGCTAAGGGAAGAAGACAATTGAGTTGAGTTATCTTTGCTCAAAATAGAATTTTGAGCAATGATTTTCCTACAATAAGAATAAAATATCTAGGGATAATTCTTTAATTAAGTCCTAAAGACTTAAGATCAGTTTTTGAAATGACCATAGCTGGTTTATATCTACAGTTCTTTCTGACAGAAGGTCTTTGTTAAACAAAGCGAATTATAATTGCTTTTTAGTGATTTATTACAGATTGCTCACTGTCCCCCAAAACCAGTACCTTCCATAAGAAAAAAAAGATTAAAAATAGAGCATGAAGTCTAATCTAGCATAGAACATTTTTTACTAGTTCCAGAAAATGACTCTATTTTATTACTCTTATATTTAGCTTGCTATATTGAGTTTCAAATATTGCAATAAGCATAGCTTTGTCATCTTTGTCAAAATGCACACCATCTATAGTTCACATTTTCTATTACACAGAATCATTTTTTGAGCTTACCCCCAATATCTGGCCGAAGCTTGTTGTCATATCCTTGAAGTAAGGAATCCAGTATGTGAGTTACATCACCACCATGAATCTTTGGTGCAAGGACCCATGTTTTATTCACCGTTAGATCTTCATCTTCCTCATCATCTGCTTTATCAGCTCTATGTTGTGTGATTAAAATTAAAAAAAAAAAAAGATTGGAAAAAACACAAGACACAGTGAAACTGAATACGCAAGAGTTGGAGAAGAAAGAGATAAAATATTGAACACTGTTTAGAATAGTTTGTGCAAACACAAATGCATTCTGGTGCCAAAAGAAAGAAGCAGACCCTTATTTACAATATATATATACTTACCAACATTTTGTTTTATGGTGTTAGGGAGTGTTAAGTGTTAATAGAGGCATTTACACATCACCCATATAAAAACTCTCAAGCCATGAGTCAAACCCACAAAAGCAGCAGCAGCCATCATCTTATCAACAGTTTCCATTTTAAAACAAAAGTGGAATTCCAAAGCTTTTCCCTACATGCATTTTTTTTTCAAGCAATGCAGCTAATATTTCTAAGAGATGCTTTATCTTCATAAAAGCATACCTATTGTATGCTACTTAAAAGAGCATCAACAGAATCTCCATCCTAATAGCCTCTGTTACGTGATGTAAGACTTGAATACTTATTAAACTCCATTCACATTTTAGGCAAGCAAACATTACATCCATGTGCTACAACTAAGCATCAGCAGAAGCAGAAGCTGCAGAAATATGCCAATTATGTATCTCTATGTATACATGGTATAGTTAACTGAAAGGAATGCTACACCATTTTCAGACCATTTGTTAGCTACATATTTTATCAAGATGAAACAATTGTACAAGAAAAATAATTACACATGCATTTATTACCTATCTTTTAATTAGATAAGCAGCAATAGATTGTTAATCCCTAGATCATTTAAAAAATATTGCAGTACCTTGGCTGCATCTGCAAATTCACTCAGGTATCACCAAAAGGTCAAAGAATGCCTGAAAGTAGTTTTCTTTCCATTTCAATCAAATGAGTATGGACTTCAGTACTCCTCCAGTGCTAAAAACTGCAATCTGTATTACGCATCCAGTTTATTTCAAGGAAATGTTATGGGCTTGAGGTCAAGTAAAGTGCATGACTGATAGCAGTAACTAACAGTCACACAACCAACCTTCACAAATGGGCACTGGCTTGCAATTATAGAAAATATGCAGCCCCTATAAATCAGATCCAATGTTAACAAAAGTGCAATATTTCAGTAAAAGAAAGGAATTAAATTGCTATCCTTGTGCCATTCACATTGTACACCAAAACTAAAAATGTTACTGCTTTAGTCTAAATGACACAGACATATGCTGCCCTCAAAACTGAGAGTGGAAATTTTCAGCAAATTTACTACAGGAAAGAAGACCACCACTATGTTCTATGTGAAGAAAGGACAGAAAAAGTCAGGAAAGGACAGAGTGAGAGAAGGCATGGCTGCCTTTTATTGCAGCCCTTTGTGGGAATGCCTCAAACCAGTCTGTAATAGAAAGGCCTTGCATCACCTCTTGGATAACAGTAGCAAGTCTCACTGAAAATAAAAACTGTCATGGCTGGGGAAACTCTCAGTGGTTTTGGCATACCTGCTTAATTTGGGAAGTGAGACCTTACCACAGCTCAATAGGTTTCCAGAGGATGAACAAAAGGCACTGCTCAGATATCAGAGCTTGCATACCTAGCTTGCTGCAAACAAGTTGAAAGAGTCTATTATAGCAGAAAGTAATACGCAGTCTAAATACAAGGCTCACTGACAGCTTCCCTGTAACAGCCTGAAAAGTGCTTTCATTCTTTTAAATTGAAATTCACCATAAAATACTTAATCTTTACTGCACTACATAGAGAAATGTCAGATATTAAATATTTAACATTTCGCATTAGCAGGATCCCACTAATGGGAGCACTAAAACTAGGAAGCTAAGTTTTGTAAATGTACACTCTTTCTCCCTCAGAGCTACCTAGTTCTTTCATATGTTGTTGCCACACAGCTTTTTTTTTACTCTTATTATATCTATTTATGATCTGCTTGCACTTTTTGGCATCTAATTACATTATAAATTAGCTTACAGTTGCTCAGAGTGCAGAGGCAATCCCAGTCTTTTCCCAGAGGCATTAAGATGATGAGAAGTTAAAACTTAATTTATAAGTAGCTCTCTAAGGAAAGACATATAACCACCACAAAACTGACCTTCTTCTTTTTGTCTTCCATCCCATAAACAGTAGAAGGTATAGTGAAAATAACAGAGTTCCTTATCAGGGCACCTGATTCTCTGTGTCAGCCCAGTCATTTGCAGAGAATTTGAAGTGATTATGACACTAATTTGTTCTGCTTTAATGTTTTTTTCCATAATGCTATTAAGAACAGCAGAGATTTATCCAAAATGGAAAGTACAAGAGGTCATGCCATGACCACATAAACCAAATAAGAGTTACAACCACAACACCTCAACTCACAGCCACTTGAATATCTTGACATTTCAAAGAGTCCTTAATTTTATTTATAGATTCATAGGACAAATCACACTGGAAAGAAATCATGAGAGGTCTCTTTAGTTCAGCTTCCTGCAAAACGCAGGGCTTGCTCTGAGGTCACAGCAGGGTGCTCATGGCTTGATCAGGTTGGTTATTGCAGACATCCAAAAATGGAACAACCTCTCTGAGCAACCTGATCTCCACTTGGCTCTTTTCTATGATTTACTATATTTAAATAAACTGGAAATCTACAAGAAAAAAATGCAAATAAAAACAGATTTCATATTTTTTCTTTCCGTTTTTTCACTTTCTTTCTTATTTAATTGGAGGACCTCTGGTCCTCCTCCCATTTTAAAAATCTGAACTACTAATAGGCATACAATGACAGCTTACAGAAAGCTATTAATGCAATTCCAGGAGGAGAGGGAAAAATTCCATCCGAACATATAAGCCATTTTCCAGGAACTAGTAAATAAATCCATTTAAGAAGATAGTTTTATTCGAGGCAACATTTTTTTAGTGTCTGAGAAGTCTTGATTTAAAATGTGCATTTCTGACTATTTACAGGGAACTATTTGAATTTCTGACTATTTACACGGAAATATTTGATTTTATCTAGGAAATATTGTACCCTGAAAAAAGTGCCAACCACACAAAACGAAACACAACTGACTTCTATACTAGTACACAAGGCCAACAAGAGCTTGTGACTCACTAACCCATTTGCTAAACCAGCAAAGAAACCAAAATGAATCAGATAACAATGTAACCCAATGTGGAAGACCTGACTTATTGCTGTTCTACATGGTGAAAACAGCTATTCTTACTCCATTCCTATTTTACCAGCCTTTTCAGAGGTGATTGACTGAGATTAACCCATTTCACTACCTGAAAACCATCTTCTAAACTCATCTTTAAAATGTGCCCAAGATCACCAAGTGTGCAATAAAGACTAAAATATCTCTGAAATGCTGATGGCACCCAGTTCTACAGTTTTGATTCCTAAACCACAGGCAGTGATGTGCAGCAACAAGACTGTGGTAAGAATGAATGATGCTGGATGGAAGAAGGAAGTGACCAGAATATACAGAAAGTCTTTCGTACACCCTCCAGTGAAGCACAGCACACCACCTGCCAACTTGAATTGTCAATCCAGTTGGTTTGGGAGGAGTTGCACAAAGCTCCCTCAAAAGAGCACCTAGTCATTTGAAGAGAACAGGACAGGCACTGTGTACATATTCACTTCTAGGAATCTGAATTACCAATATTTGTCATACTAAAGGGATTTGAATTAGTTTGTGCTAAAGATAGAAATCCCTCCAGATGTAAAAGTCTGCAGGATCAGCTGAAATGGTGTTATCAGTTAACAGACCTTGCTAAACCGTGTTCTATAAAGAAACATTCACTTTAGAAAACAAGATGGATCAAAACTGTTATTCCTTTACCAAGTTTTTGTGTATCTCCAGCCTTTTCTCCAGGGTTTGGAATAGGATAGAAGGAAAAACAGAAGGCAGCAACCTTCATTTCTAACCAGAAGATAAAATGTTAAAATCAGGTATGTAATTCAATTATTTAGTGACAGTTAACTTGGGATGGGGACCTTTTTTCTTCTTTGCCATTAAAATAAATCTAAGAAACCTATGAAGATTAATGTCAATTAACTCCACTCCTACTTTAATGGTAGCACTATCTTCTTTCACAACTCCAAGAAGAAAGGCAAACTTAATTAAAGATGAATTCTTTTCCTTTCCAAGTTCATGTAAAGGTTATTTCACTATACACAGAACATAATACTTGATCATCTCTCCATTTACTGTAAAATATATTTGTTCTAGCTAAGTTCACTCACTGTCTTTTTCAGAATGTCTGGAGAGATTATGATTTAGAACAAAAATCTATCATCAAACATTAAAACGTTTATTTTCCATAGCAGAGTGCTACTTTATATCTATTAATGTAAATGCTAATTTTGATTTTAATGATTTTATAAATAAGAAAGAGATCTCACTTCTTAAGATGCTTGTTGTTGTAGCACTTCAGCTACCCTCATAAACTCAACAGTAAACTGCATGTACACAGCAAACAGCAATTAAGACAAAAAGTGACCCCATGATGCTCTCTGTCCTTCAACTAATTGGAGACATTACCATGACTAATAAATCTCTGGGCACAAGTGACTAAGGATTAAATAAGTCTTTTCAACATCAAGCAACATGCTTCTCTTCAGATATTAATATCATAGGTTTTTGTTCTCCTTTAAATATGAGAAAAATCAGCCATGTGACCTTTGTGTTGCAATTAACATCTGTCAAGTTATACAGTGAACTGGAAGATGAATATGGTGAAAGTGTTCTGACTGTTATTTGCATCATGCATGTCAAAATATTACACACAGAAGTACATGTATAGCATAAGTGAAAGTATTTAAATATAGCTAAGCATCAATTTAGTTGTCCATTCTCAGACTCCTATTCCTATCCAACACACAAAAGGATATCCAGTCTTCCAAGATGGGTTGATGTATAGGGAACCTGTAGACCTCTGAAAAAAAAGAGACTTGTCAGGGAACCTGAGTTATCTCTGCTGAAGCTACAACTCTGTGCACAAGCAACTCAATCAAGCTC